TCTATCAATAAATATACATTCATTAATACTTTTGGGTTACATTTGACTATTCGTATGTTTTGTATCCTTCATTGTTATTGGATTGCTAAAAGGTATAGAAAAACACTGCACTATCTCGTTCTTGAAAGAATGAGTGAAACTCATAACGATGGCATAGGTCCGATTTTCACTGGTAACTCTGAATTTTCGTACATTTCAAACGTTAAAATTGCGTCTTCCTATATATCTTCAAATAAAATATGTTATCCATAATTAGCTTTTCAATTAGTGTCATATATATTTGAAAACATTAAACGTTTTCGCGTTATTTTAACTGAAATACCTGCAATATTAAAAACACGATTTTCTCAAAAAACGGATACAATTTGTTGACTTCATTTCTGAAAGAATTGTGCTAAATGCACTGAATAAAGTGACATGTATACTATTATGATAAATTCTGCTTTTTTTCTTTCAGAAAATACAAACATTTTTGAGAAAATAATTATTAAAAAACGTTTATTTTTAACATATCTCCCGAGTCGTTAATATTTATATTACGGGCGTCTTTTATGCATGATTCCATGTTTTATTCAAATGTTTCTTTTAAAGTTTTTGGAAAATCCAAACGTTTTTGGATAAACTTTTCTGTCAACAGGGGACCATAAAGTCGAACAAGGTGAAAAACTGTCTAAACCTCCTGGGGAGAGTGTGGGACAGAACCCTCTCCCCAGCTGACCAACAGTTTTCCCAATAAAAACATTACATAAAAGTAAACTAAACTATTGTGTTATGAATTGATACAGTAAATATTATGTTCTATAAGATTTTTTGTAGGGATCATTAATTTTTAGAAAATTATTCCTTGCTGAGTACGATATGGATACATTTTAATGCTCATTTAACTTTGTTTCAGTACCAAAGACATTAAGAAACATATATTTAATGTAATATAACATAGTAATTGTTTGAATGTATATCATAAAGTTCGTTCTTTATTTGCTTTGGTTTTTTATTGGTTTAATCTAATCATTATGTTTCAAAGCCGTAACATGTTTTCAATTAGTGCAGTCAAGGGATTCGACCCTAGGAGACAGGAGCTTAGGGCAAGTGAGTTAAGGGACGTGGACACTAAGAATGTGGTCTTCAAAGCCGTTTAAGACAAGTTCGTATACCTTACTTTCTCGTATACTGCTTAAACAGTTCAAAAAAGTATTGAAATACTGGGAAAACTGCCACTTTTCGACAGAAAACTATTATTGCCAGACCAAGTGGATAAATCTTGTTCCTGTATGTAGTAAATTCCACCCTCGAAAACGCGATGTAATCAGAATCCACGTTTTTAGTACTTGATAGAGAAAATTTGATTGAAGTCAAACCGTCCGTCCGTGGCCAACGCAAATGCCTAAACAGTTCAGACACTATTCTCCAAACCTGATATTCCCCGAACGAACTGTACAAACTTGAGTCCGTGGAGTTTGAAACTAATATTTTAATTTTTGGGGTACTTTATATGAAGCCTCTACATTTTCAAAATTTCAAATGACGCTCGTGTCATTTTCATTGAAATTCCTGATTTTTGGAAAATTTCAAAGTTTTTCGGTGTCTTTCTAGGATTGCAATGTTGACGAAAGATATTTTTCTTAATAAAATCACTTCTTTAAAGACATGTGTCGAAGGCGCCGGCGGGCCACACCGGATATGGAAGACGTGATCGCTCCCAGGGACGAACGGGTGCGTAACACGTAGGCCATGATGAAGGGTGACGACACATCGCCTTCTGTGGCCTGTGTGAACGAGAGTACCATGCGCTGTGACAGCATGGAGAGGGAGTGGGCACACAAGGGGAGAGGAGGGGAGAAGAAGGTTGCCCCAGCGTACTGGTGCGATCGAGAGCATGACCAACACCCTCAGAATATAACAAAGCATCCACACAGAGTTTGTGAGCAAGTGTTTTGGTGACAGGGTAGTTTTAAGTAACAGTGTGATTTGTACAAGGTCAGTGGTTTGGGTAGCAACGCTGTGTTGTAATTAGAAAGTGAAGATTCTAGGACGATCATTCGAATCAGTGAAGATATTCAGTATTAAGTTTACGTATTGGTGCGATCATATCAGTGATGTTTCTTCCGAAAGCCATAAAGATGTGCTGGAGCAAACTACCATGCACTGCCAGGGATATTACAAGTGTCTAATGTCCGTGTATTTGGTTTCCCAAAAGCTAATGAAATGCGTCGAAAAGGCTTGCTAGAGCTTCGACGGAATTTCAAAACTTAAGAGAACTAATAAGTTGTGTTACTTTTATTCGTAGTCATTACCTTACAGAAAACCTTTTTTGAATGTTTTGCAACATTTTTCATACACGACTAATATTTACTTTCTTTTTGTTTGACCAAGTTTTAAATCAACTTATTACTGTAAATATTACCCTTAAAACATTACACAGTTCAAATAATAAGGCTTAGTGAAACGAACGTTTAAATAAATTCAAATATTTTTAGGTTTTATACACTGGCGAAAAATTATTGCATCACCGGGATGAGCAATCAAGTAGGCGATGTGGGACGTTAAGGATAGGGGTCGTAGAAGCCGTGATTAATATTTCACGGATGACTGAACCCGGTGACGTAATGGCAGCGTGACGAAATGGCGCTGTCCACTGCGATAAGGTCTAGTCGGGACTTAGGTATGCCACGGTCTCGCATTCGTTCGCCCTTTAAGCAATTGGTGGAATTTTCGGCCTGCCTGGGAAACCGGGTGGCCCTAGGCGCATTGCTGACCACGTCGGCCGTGATGCGACGACGGTGCTGCGGTGCTGGCTACAGATAGGTAGATGAACATTCCCATAGACCTAGACTCACTTTGGGGTGACCGCGGAGCACCGACGAACGTCAAGATCGATGCATCGTGAGGGTGGCGTTGGCAGACTGTACGAACAGACGAGATGCGCCGAGATAAGAGCCACATGTGGCCCCCAACGTGTCTCCACGCACCGTTGGAAACTGGTTGTTTGCTGCAAGATTAAAATCGCGCATACTGCTACCCCTTTTGCCACTCATGCTGAACCATCGTCGGGTACATCTGGCGTGGTACAATGTTGGTGTCATTTGGAAGACGTAATGGCGTGCAGTGATGTTCAGTGATGAGAGGCACTTCTGCCTGCATGACAGTGATGGTCGTGTGCGTGTGCAGCGTCGAACAGGCGAGCGCCGGATTGTGTTCGTCCACATTACGTACGGCCCACCGTGGTAATGATTGTTGAGGTGCCAGCTACAACACCCGTTCATCTTTGGTGTTCGTGTAGTGATCATAGACCAACGCTGGATACATCCAGCACGTTGTGCCGCCTGTGCTGACCTTTCTTGCATCGGGAGGGTGGTGCGCTGTTCCAGCAGGCAATGCCCTCCCTCACACTGCCCGCGCTTCGCAACACACCCTTCGCGATGTTCGTCAATGTCCCTGGCCAGCACACTCGCCTTATTTGACCCCGATCGAACATGTATCGGACATGATGGGCCAAGTCCTGTCGCGTGCTGCGACTCCCCCAACAACTCTACCTTTTCTGGGGCGGTGCAGGAGGCGTGGAACAGTGTACCTCAGAACTCTACCATTCGCCACCGGTACAATGGGATGCCAGCCCGCATTAGGGCATGTAGTGCTTCCCGCGGTGAGTAAACGCAGAAATGATGTGGTGTTTCCGGTCCATGGTTATCTCTGTTGCTCGACATGCGAGTCTCACAGGTCTCTGCCCATTTAATCATGTATAATATTCTGACCGTGTGTGCTGTATCTGTACGGCGGAATGCACAATGCAATCGAGGTATTGCAATTTTTTTCGCCAGTGTATTATAGTGTTGCGTCATAGTACTCACAGCGAACACAGACACAGATATTTCATCTAACAAATATTTATTTACAAAGAAAACACAACAAATATTTACAATGAATTTCCACTTTACACCCTAGCTCTGATAGTCCTGCTATCCCCTGATCGCGGCAATGATCCAAATACGATTGATAGTCGGTTTCCATTGTGGCATTCGCCACTCCTACTTCTGAAGCGCGCACAAAGCCTAGCTTCGGTGACCGGATGTCACACTGGGACACAAAGTCCGCACTGGCGTACCCACTGATGGTTTGCCTCGATCGCAGGAGCGATCTTACTCGATTGAAAATCGGCGTGAGTCGTGGCACTCAACCACTCCTCACCTCGGAGCACGCATACAACATCGCTCCCACGTGACCTCAGTCACCCAAGGACACAAAGTCCTCCACAGGCTCGTCAACACGTGACTTGTCTCGTGAGCCCTGCCCGTCGCTGAATCGTCGTGTCGCCAAGTTTTGTGCAACTGCACGAGTTTCTCCCACTGTCTCCAGAACCCACCCACTGGCTCTGTGCACTCCCTTATATACTCAAGGCTCACATGACCTACTACGTCACGCCGCCCCCGCTGCGCTCTATTGCCGACCATGACGGTTGGGTCTCCGTTTTTTAAGATCGGAGGACACTAAAGCCTCGTGTCTCCCGTTTCCGCGTTCTTGCTTTAAGGAAAAACCCTTTTCTCCCTCCTGGGGCGAGGAGTTTTCCTCTTACTAATCCCTTACCACGCGTCCCCAAATAGATGCCACGAGGTACGCTGGCTAATACGTTACAATAGCAATGTTTCATATCAAATTCATGTTTAATCCGTTCTTATTAAATGCGATGGTTGTCTTATTCTGTACCTAAGGAATGATATTCTTGAAATCTTTAAATACGTTTGCTGAAAATTAATTACTAGTATTAAATAGGTTCTAATTTTATGCAATATTACAGGTGCACTTTCGTGGGAGTGATATATTGCGGGAAACAGTTGTGTATGATACGATGGGTGAAAATATTTTTTAAATATAGTGGCACTCAATTTTAAAAAGCTTGGTGTCTTCCTGATTTTTTGACTGCTATATCTACGTTTCTAGAAAAGAAACAAAGCGAGAAATTCCAGCTGAAAAGAAAAGAAGACTGAAGAAATCCCAATAATGTGATGTCGATGCTGCTGAGCAGGACTACAAGAGCAGCCAAGAGGGGCGAGCGCCGAGCCAAAAAGGTATGCCCGCCACCGCCTTTACCCGCCCCTTGGAATTGGGGTCCCATACCCCCTGAGGTGTGTTCAAAGTAACAGAGATGCAAACACAGAAGGAAACGTGCACAGAAATCCACCAACCTAATAATGACCACTCGATGAACTCCCCTGATGTTGGCCCCTGATGCCTCCCCTGATCCCCGGGAAAAAATGGCAGGTACTTTGCCTCCAAGGACTGCAACACCGCCCCCACACACCCGTTGCCGACCAGGAGGCGACAACAACAGAGATGGCAGTGCACTCCACGTGCCTGAAGGCGCTGTGGAACCTGCAGAATGCGATCAGAGCATCCAAGAAACAGTCCAGGCAGACGGGGGCGCAGTGCCACTATCTACAGATGACAGCGACCGCCCAGGTCGCGTCAGGCAGGAAAACTACCCTGCGTCAGGCAGGAAAACAAACTAACATTACCGTTATAATGTGTTGAGTCAAGGCTCAGCTCCGAGATGGCGCCACTGTTTGCAAATGAATATGAAGAGATGATGCCAATGCGTGTTCACATGTTTTTTGGCCATGACAGTTCTCGCATGCTTATTTGAAAACGTGTTAACATTTAATTTTAAGTATGAAGTTGAGGCGTCTTGGAAGTTGCTGGGGTCTTGTATATCGACGTGAAGTCTGGTCCGGGCCTCATGGCCTCATTCGATCCCTGGTTCTTCTTCTTCAATTATTTCTGGTGTGTCTATGTCAACTGGGACATGTGGTTGATCTACGTTCAGTTCTTCATTATGCTGATTCAATGGAATGTGTACCAAATCTCCCAAGTCAACTTGATATTCTTGATTATCAAGATTCGGCGCAAGCCATACTTTTTTCTTTAGCGTTTCTACCAAAAGTCGGTTCTGGAGTTTCGGTTAATCGTAGTTGGTCTATATGCCGTTTGAAGATGCCACCGTCATCTAATTTCACTAGATTCTGCAATTGTCCAATTTTTTCGATAATTATTCCGAACTTCCATTGCTTTTTATTGGCAGATTAGTAGAGCCCTTGTACGCGTTCTCCCACACTTAATTGACGTGTCTTTTTCATTGATGTTTCAGTGTTCTGAAGTTTTATCGGTTTTAGTGCATCATGTTCAATGCGAATGTTGCAGTTCAGATACTGTTCAGCCGGGGTTCTCTGGTTGTTTAAAGGAGTCGCTCTGTACCTGAAAAGAATTTCCCAAACTTTCTTTCGCAATGAAAGTGGTTCGTTGATCATTGTTACTAATCGTTTTTTCAATGTTTGCGCATTCCTTTTTGGTAATCCATTCGTTGCAGGGTATCCTGGCGCTATGAACTTCCAAAAATGCCAGATGTTTTGTAGTAGTGCTGAAAATTTTCTCTGGAGAATATTGTAGCAATATCTGCAACTATTACGTCTGGAAATCCGTGCCTTGAAGACATTTCTTGGAGAAATTCGAAGGTTGATGCTGCAGATGCTGCTGACGAGCATGGTTCTATTTCTGCCCATTTCGATTTTGCATCAATGGCAACAAAAAAATGATGTCCTTGGTATGGTCCTGCTTAATCGAAGTGAATACGCTGCCTATTTCCTTCTGGTTCTTGCCATGGGTGTAGAGGAGTTTTTGCTGGACTGTTTTTCACTTTTACACATTCAGAACATGCTCGAACGATATGTTCGATATCCTTGTCTATGTTCTTCCTGTATATATACCGGTGTGCGAGTTATTTCAGTTTTGAAATTCCGATATGAGTTCGATGAAGTTCCTCCAAAACAGCAGCTTGTATTTTTGCTGGTATCATTACGCGTTGACCTCTAAAAAGTATGGCGTTGTCCGTGGTAAAATCTATACAAGTTGTTTCGTCTTCTTGGAGTTCTTGGAGGATGCCAGAAAATGGACTTCGGACTTCATCAGCTTCGGACTCTTTCTGAATTAATTCGAATGTGATTTTCTGAGTGTAAATTCTGTTGATGGTTTCTACGGATAGAAAATGAACTTCTTCATTGATAGCTGTTTCTGTGTGTGATTTAAGTTCTGCATTCAGTGGTACCCGCGATAAACAGACAACATTGGTATTCTCATATCCTCTTCTGAATATAACTTTATACTGTATACTTATAATCGAATCCTAATACAAACGCTGCGTAACGTTGTAGACTAGCTGAAGTCATCCGTGGCAATTTTGCATGTTGATGGAAAATCCTAGAGAGAGATTGATTGTCTGTGACAAGTTGAAATTGACTTCCGAATAAATATGAAAAAATCTATCAGTTCCAAAAACAATTACTAGAGCTTCTCTATCAAGTTGAGAATCGTTTTGTTCTGCTGGGGTTAGTGAGCGAGATGCAAAAGCTATTGGTTTTCCTGATCATTGATTATGTGTGATAAGACTGCTCCTTTACCTTTGGAACTTGCATCAAAAGCGAGTCGAACTTGCAATTCGGGATTTAATGACATGACTACGCAATCGCTTGTGATTTCCCGTTTCAAGCGAATAAAAGCTGCCTCACATCGTATTTTCCTGCAGCAAATTCTGCAGTGGTGCTGTAATTGTAGAAGTGTTTGTAATAAATCTGCTATAAAATGGGACTGATCTTAAAAAGGATTTTCTTTCATCTTTTGATTTTGGCATTTGTGTGATGGCTTTGATTTTTTCTGGTAACTTCGAAATTTTATTATATTCGATAACGTGTCCTAGAAACTCGAAGCGTTGTTGAAAAAATGAGCATTTCCGGCGATTCAAATGTAGATCATATTTCCTCAGCTGTTCAAGGCACAAGATCAAGTTAGTCTCACATTCTTCCTTTGTTGATCCATGCACAATAATGTCGTTGAAATATTTTTCAGTCTTCAGGATGTTTTTCAAAATTTTGTCGAAAATTCGATTAAATTCTGATGGCGCTGTTTTGATACCAAAGGAGAGGCGATTCATTCTGTAAGTCCCTCGATGTGTTGATATTGTTTGAATTTTACTCGATTGTTCATCCACTGAAATATGTAGAAACGCTTTATACAGGTCCAATCGGAAAAAGTAGCGAGAATCATGGAGACTATTCAAAATTTCGTCGATTTTTCGAATGGGGTAATGTGCGTCCATACGTTGCTCGTTCACACCAACTTTGTTATCGACACCTCCATCATTTTTTGGAATGATGTCAGTCGAACTCCTCCATCATTTTTTGGAATGACAATTGGAGGTCCCCAGTCGCTGGTTTCAGTTTTTGTAACTAGCCCTGCTTCTTCGGGTGAATTCAGCTCCATCTCGACTCGAATGAACAGTGATAACGGAATTTGTTTTTGATGGTGAAAACTCGGTTACGCTTTCTCTCGAAGTTTTAATTCAACATCGAAATTTGGCACACGTCCAATCTTTTCTTCAAAAATGTCTGAAAATTGTGTCATAATTTCTTTGGTTTAATCGATATAACTTACAGCGTTTCTTTCGGTTGATACTTGGCTTTGTTGATCGATTTCTTGTAAATTGATGTTTTATTTTCTGATCCAAACTCGGCCTAAAATAGCGTCATATTCTTCCGAGACAATGTAGATTTCATCTTGGATGGTTTTCCCGTTGAATTCGACGTTGACATTAATTTTACCATCTGGAACGAAGACGTCATGCGTGTACGATTGGAATCGCAGAGGTCTTGGCTCAAGAGCGACATTGAATTTGAAATCAGTGAACTTGTTTCGAGGCAACATCGTGTAACCGGCACCTGAATCAACTTCGAATTTGATTACCTTTTCTTCAACTTTAACCTGGGCGTAATAACGTTTCAAATTATCGTTTGAGAGTCGATTTTGGTAGATGTCGACAATTTGAATTGATCTATACTCTTTGGGTATCGTATCCAGTTGAGTTGAATTAACCGTTTTTTTCAGTACAGAATGAGTTTGTTTTGATTTTCGATCTAATAAGAACCGGAAACATACCTTAGAAATATGACCGGTTTTCTTGCACTAAGAACATTTGAGAGTTGATTTATTAGTGCGACAGTCATTTATAAGATGAATATTTTTTCTGCACCACACACATAGTCCATCGATGCCCAATTTAGCGTTGTCAATTCTTGATTCCCGTTTCCTCGAACTTCATAGATTCGCGATAGGCTGTGTTGATGTTGTGTCATGTTCACGTTTTGTGTGGTTATTTGTTTTCGAAATTTTGACTTTGTTGATATTAGCTGCACATGTCGATGCAGAGGTTCTTTGAGCGAGTTCTATTTAGTTGATTTTTGAAGCTTCAAGGGCTATTGCTTTAGTCACAATATCTTCAAAACTTTTCGTTTCCGATTGTAGAAATTGCTCCCTGACGGAGTTGTCCTTTATTCCTCGAATAAACTGTCCTCGAAGAAAAATGTCTGCAAAGGAAGTTTCGCATTGACATTCTGAAATAAAATGACGAACTCCGATATCCGTTCTCAAGTTTGCGACGAATTCTGCAATAGATTATCAGATTGATATTTTGATAAATTGATGCTGAGCCACAAGAACGTTCTTTTCTGGTGCTAAATGTTTTTCTAAAAGTTTGATTAATTCATCGTGTTTTTGTTTTTGGCATTTTTGGTGCTGTTAATGTTGATATCATGTTAAAATATTTTGCACCGATAGAATTTAAAAGTAACTTTGCGCTGTAATCTTTGTTATTTATTACATTCTTCATTTCTAAATAATTTTCGAAACGAGATCTATAATTTCGAAACGATTCTGTTGTTGGATCGAAAATTTCAAAATTTGGCAAAAGGGCAGAATTTACCGTTAAATCTTGATTGGTTCTCACTGGTTAATTAGTGTTTTTTCCTAATATTTTCTGGAGCGTTTGCTCCAGAATTTCATAAATTCAGAAAATAGTGTCGCATCCATTGTGCTATCTGTTGTTGAATTAAGTTGATTTTATATTACCTTCAAGCAGTGACACGAGCTACTCGATCCACCCACGATCACCACTTCTTGGCAATGTAACATATACTTCCTCTAATAAAAATTGCTCGCAAAAAATATTGAAATTTGTCAGCTCTCT